GACGTGGGAAAACAGGATGGGAAAGGGGAAGCGGGAGCAGCTGCGCTTTCCCTTCACCGTTGGCGGCTCATTTCGGTATCGCTTTCACCCTGTTTAACCCCAAACAGGGCTCAGGCGCAGCCTAAACCGGTGCCGGGCCAAGCCGGGCTTAGGGGACACTGTGGGGGGGCCGCCGGGGGGGACTCCTGGGGATGGGATGGGGTGGGATGGGGTGGGATGGGATGGGATGGGATGGGACCCCCCCCGGCTCACCTGGGAGCTGCTGCCCGGAGCGTGGGGCAGGGTTGGGGTCCTCCTCGGGGGTCACCCCCTCAGGTGGCATCTCCTCAGGGGGCACCTTCTTGGGTGTCCCCGCTCCAGGTGTCCCCCCCTCACGTGTCCCCTCCTCTGCCGTCCGGGCCAGGCTGAGCCTCTGCAGCTGCTCGTTCTGCTGCCCCTGAGGTGGGAGGAGAGCCCCCTGTGCCAGGATGGGGGCTCCCAGCGCTGCCCCCGTACCAGCTGTGCCGGGGGATGCTCTGGCACCCTTGGCCCTGCGAGGGGAGGGTGTTGGGGTGCTCTGCCCCCCTACCTGTGCCGTGAGGGCCTGGACTTGCTGCGGGCACAGCCACTCCAGCTCCACCTCCGTCTGCAGTGCCTCCAGCTCTGCCAGCAGTGCCTGCGACGCTGCCGGGGGCACACGGGGGTTCAGGTGCCCGCCAGACTCCCAGGGGAGTTCCTGCCCCCAGCCCCCCACACCCAGGGGCCGGTAGAGCCCAGCCAGCTCACCCAGGAGCAGGGCTGGCACCCAGCTCTGTGCCAGGGCAGGGATTGTCCCACTGACACCGTCACTGACAGGGCCTGTGAGGGGCTGCAGCTGCCCTGAGACCCCCACAGGGACGTACCAGGGTGGGACACGGGTGGGACACTGGGGTGGGACACAGGGGTGGGACACAGGGGTGGGACACTGGGGTGGGACACAGGGGTGGGACAAGTCTCACCTTGCTCGAGCTGTGCCAGCCGCCCCTCGGCATTGCCTGGCTCCGGGCCAAGGAGTGGGTGCAGCTGGGGGAGAAACGGGCATGAGGAACGGGGTTGGCACAGCATTCCATTGGCCCAGCATTCCATTGGCTTGGCTTGGCGTTTGCAGGGTACTGCACTGGCACAGCATTGTTTTGGCCTGGCATTGGCACAGCATTCCAGCGGCATGGCATTGCCTTGGCATGGCATTCTGTTGGCATGGCATTGGCACGGCCCTGCTTTGGCACGGCATGGCATTGGCAGGGCACTGTTGTTGGCACAGCATTCCGTTGGCAGGGCATTGCACTGGCAGAGCAGGGCACGGGGTTGGCGAGACGTTGCACTGGCACGGCACCGGCAGGGCATTCCACCGGCATTCCGCTGGCATTCCACTGGCATTCCAGTGCCATTCCCTTGGCTCAGCGCTGCCAGGTCCCGCTGAGCCCCGAGCGCTGGGGACGCTGTGCCTGTGCCACCCCCGCGCTCAGCCCCCGGAGCTGGGACACCCAGCAGGGATGGGGGGGACACAGGGGGGCACCCGCCCTTCACCCACAGCGAGTTAAGGGGGCAGGAGGGGGAAATCCGATGGCAAACGATTCTGGAAGCGATACCTGTCCCGTAGCTGCCTCTGCATCCTCCTCTTCCTCTTCTTCCTCCTCCTCCTCGCTGCTCCCGGACTCCAGGATGGCTGCAGGGAACCGACCCAGGAGGTGTGGGGGGGACACGGGGGGACAGGGAGGTGACATGGGGGGCTGGACAGTCGCCGGCAGCCCTGGGCGTCCCCCCGGGGCTCTGGGGTGAAGGGTCTGTGAGGGGGGGATGCCGTGAGACCCCCCACGTACCGGGGGAAGTGGCCCTGGGGACAGTCACTGGGGGCCCCGGGGGTCCCCGATGTTGGGCCGGGCACATCCCTTGTTCCCAAGTGCTCCGGGGTCCTCGCAGTGCCAGGGGGTTCGGGGAGGGGCTGTTTACCCATCCCCGCCACCTGGGCAGCTCCCAGAGGGGCTGAGGCACATCCCGTCCTCCCACCCTTCCCAGAATCCCTAATCTGGTGGGGAATGAGCTCTGGAATCAAAATCCCACCTGCCTTTCCCCCCCTCCCTCTCCCTGCTTTGTAATCCCCCCTTCCCCCGGGACCTTACACCCCCCACAAGGGCTGGGGGTCCCCGCGGGACCCTCCGTGCTGCCGAATGAAGACCCCCAGGACCCTCTGCTGGGGAGAGAGAACCCCCTCCAGCCCCTTCTGGGCTGGTTTTACTCACTGCAAACCCTCTCCCAGGCCACCGTGGTGGCCACAGGGGACAGACAGACAGAGAGACAGACAGACAGAGCCCCCCCGGCCACACCTGGGCCCCCCCCAATCCCCCAGGGACAGACCTTACCTGCGAGGTGCCCCCCGACACCTTCCCCGGCCCCGGCCATGGTGGGGGCTGCGGCCCCGGCCCCGCAGAGCAGGGGAAGCTGCCCCTGCCCCGGCTCTCGGTTCATCCTCCCGCTGCTGCAGGGAAGTGAAACCGGTCCCTGACCCCCCCCGGGGCGGGGGACACCAATCCAGGCAGGGGGGAACCAAAACCTGCCCCACCCCAGCTGTGGGTGCTCGGACTGGGGAGGTGCTGAGGACCCTGCCCGGGGGAGCTCTGCAGGACCCCCCTACCCCCATGGCATTTACACCCCCAGGGCACCCGAAAATATGGAAATTGGGGTGGTTTGAGGAGATGCAGCTCAGCGGGGGGGATGTGTGGGGCTGCCTGTACCTCTGCCTGCATTGGGCAGCATGGGCTGGGCAGGGGTCTCCGGGGGTCTCCAGGGGTCTGCAGGGGTGCCCAGGGGTCTCCAGGGGTGGGAAGGCCAGGGCCACAGCGGGAAGCACCAGAGCAGAGAGGGGGGTGGTGACCACAGCGCTTTATTCACCAGGGAAAGGAGGTTCCTCCCAGTTTTGGGACACCCCCTGTGCCCTCCTGGCTGCCACTCCCAGGCGGCCCCACCGGGGGGCCCTCGGGTGGCCCGGGGGGATCGGGGGGGGGTCACAGGGCCGTGCCCACCGGGCCCGGGTCGGGCGCCTTGGCCTCGCGGGGGTAGAACTCGGCCAGGATGTTCTCCGGGATCCGCTTCAGCAGCTGCTTGGGGAAGATGCGCAGCAGCTGCCACCCGATGTCCAGGGACTCGAAGATGCTCCGGTTCTCGTAGGGCCCTGGGAAGGGAGGGGGGTGCAGGAGCCAGGGGGTGCTGGGGGGTGTCCCAGAGCCCCCCCGTGTGGGGCACCAGCTCACCCTGGGTGATGAACTGCTTCTCGAACTTGTGCAGGAACTCCAGGTACAGCAGGTCATCGGCAGACAGAGCCTCCTCCCCCACCACCGCCTTCATGGCCTGCACGTCCTTCCCGATGGCGTAGCAGGCGTACTGGGAGAGCCACGGACACACGGAATGGGGGGCCTGGCACGGGCCTCAGAGACCACCCAGGGACACCCAGCAACACCTTCCACCAGCCCAGGTTGTGCCCATCCAGGAATGGGGATGGGGCAGTTACAGCTTCCCTGGGCAACCTGTGCCAGGGCCTCCCCTCACAGGGAAGGATTCCTTCCCAATATCCCATTTGAATCTCCCCTCTTCCATGCTGAAGCCACTCCCTGTGTCCTGTCCCTCCATGCCTTGTCCCCAGTCCCTCTCCAGCTCTCCTGGAGCCCCTTTAGGCCCTGCCAGGGGCTCTCAGCTCTCCCTGGATCCTTCTCTTCTCCAGGGGAACCCCCCAGCTCTCCCAGCCTGGCCTGGTCTCACCTGAGCCTCCCCAGGCAGGGGGTTCTGAAGGACAAACCACCCCCCTCAGTGTCCCCCAGCCCTCACCAGCTGGTTGGAGACGTCCCCGTGGTCCTTCCTGGTCATTCCCTCTCCGATGGCCGATTTCATCAGCCGGGACAGGGACGGCAGGACGTTGATGGGGGGGTAGATCTGCAGGGCGAGAGGGACCCCCATGTGCACCTGTCCAACACCCACCCCTTGCCCTGGGCACCCCCGTTCTGGGGGGTCTCCAGCCCCCCCAGTCCATCCCTAGAGCCGGGAAGGGGCTCGGGAATGAACCTGCCGGTTGTGGAGCTGCCGGTCCACGTAGATCTGCCCCTCGGTGATGAAACCCGTCAGGTCAGGGATGGGGTGGGTGATGTCTGGGGGGAACCAGGGTGCTGTAAGCCCCCCACGGGGTGTGGCTGCTCGGGACACGGCCACGCCCCATGTCAGGGGATCACCAGAGCAGCACAGCCCCCATGGGGCTGGGGTGGGGGGTCTCGGTGTCACCCCCTGCCCAGCAGGGGACCCCACGGGGAACTGATGAAGAGTGGCTCGAGTGGTTTGTGTCCCCCCTGGGGTACCCAGGCAGGTGGGGTGTCCCGTGGCACCCCTGGCTGCTCTCCCTGTCCTCAACCCCGTCCTTTGGCTGACACCCTTATCCCGCTGGGGGGTGGCCCAGAGGGAAGGTTTGGGGGGGATAATAACCCCAAACACCCCAGCGAGCACCCAGGGCTTCACCACCCCGCGAGCTCCCCAAAACCAGCTTAAAACAATCCGGCATCTCCCAGCCCTGCCATTTCCTGGAGCAGGGCAGCTCCCGCCCCCGCGTCCCAGCCCTCCCCGTGTCCCCGGTCCCCGTCGTGTCCCCAGTCCCCCTCGTGTCCCCGGTGCCCCCCGTGTCCCGCGGACCGTCGTTGGGCATGGTGAGGATGGGGATCTGGGTGATGGAGCCGTTCCTGCCCTCCACGCGCCCGGCGCGCTCGTAGATGGTGGCCAGGTCGGTGTACATGTAACCGGGGAAGCCGCGCCGGCCGGGAACCTCCTCCCGGGCTGCCGACACCTGGGGGGGA